TTCGCCCAGATGACGAAAACTGTACCCCTGCCGATAGTTTACCCTACTTAAGGGGGGACATCACTCCAAAAGAGCAGCTCCAGACAAAAAAAAACACTTGGCGGGGGACCCCCTCAGATCTGGCTCCCTCCCGGTTTTTTTGGTTCAACTAGTGAATACGAATTGCCGAAACAAAAATTTGGGGCCGGATCCAACACCGATTGGTTTTTGGCACGGGTCAAAAACCCCCAGAAATGGTTTTTGAGGGTTTGGGGCTTTTGGGATCTCGGAACGTGTCGGCTAAAAAATCTCCCAAATATGGTTTTTCCGAAAGAAAAAAGTGCGCTCTTTCGAATGCCGGGTCGCGCGAGGCTCTACGACGTCGGGTTTAGACGCTACGGGCTCTTAAAGTTGCTCAATTTCACTATTTTCACTAAAAATGACTAAAACAGATTTCTTTCTCTCCGGAAGTCGATTGTGACTCTTCCTATTGGCAATCTTCACCATGCAAGGTATTTTTATACCTCAGAGACATGTTTGGGCAATGAAGTTACGTTTTTCTACCGTGGGGAAAGCCCACACACTACATAGCGTACATAGCGCCTAGGGGTAGGCACCCCCTTTACTCAGGCCAGTCGGGGGGGCCTGCCGCGTCAGGGAAGGCAGAGGTGGGATCGGGGTGGGCTCTATTGAGCAAGAATTTTTAAGAGGTGCCCGGGTTGGATTCACCTCTCCGATTTGGCTCTTTTTTGGGGGGTTTTTTAGCACCCTAGAAAGATGCTAAAATCCTGAGTAGCAGGTCCGGAAAAAATTTATTAACCAATCTGCAGCTGTTTTTCTAAATTGAGTTTTTAACTTGAATTTGGGTATTTCTTCATTTTCTACAGTTTTTGCTAAGGAAGCTGAGTTTAGGTTTTTCAGACGTAAAATGACCCAAGGAATTCGAATCTGCGTCGGAATTGAGCTAGGACTCATACTTCAGGAGATATTGGCAAAAAAAACTGCCAGAAGTTCCCAAAAAAAGTCCCAAATCCTGGGGAAACGGTCAAAAATTCCCGTGAGAGGCTTTCCCAGTGGTCTAAACTTCAGCGAATGACCCAAGGAATCCAATGAGCACAACCTCATTTTTTTCCGACGAACTGTTTAGAAATGGCCCCTTTCAAATTGAGCATTTTTTTCCCCCTTCCAAATTTTTTAAGCTTTTTGACCCTGTAGGATTATATTTTCTTCTAACATCCCATCGGTAATGCCCCTGCCATCCAGGGTCACGTGGTACGAACACCGCGACGCAAAAAAGTAGGAATCGAATGCGCAGCACTCAGCGCCTAGGCCTGGGCGATTAATCGAAAACAATCGCGATTATTTTGTTAATCGTGCGATTATTTTTAAACCCGATTAGTGGTAAGTAATCGAAGTATTGACCGATTGATGATCGATTATCGATTAATCGTCTCTTTATCAGATTTCTATCCATCACCTGTGCCATTCGAGAACTTTTCACGCTACATCCAAAAAAGACGTTTTAAAAATTTTCCCAACTGTTCCCGTTAACTTTTTTAACAGGATTTCTCAAAATTTATTGGAGACTTAAAAGCATAGAAAAGAACCATGCCCCTGCTCAATATATTGTGTCAATATTTAAAAACATAAAATCATGTTTAGAAAAATAGCCGCCTTTCAACATCGAGTGCCAAGATTTTAAGACAAGTTACTTGAAAAGTCTGCCCCCTAACCCTACCCCCTCCCACGACGGGCACCGTGTCAGATATTGAAACATACATTTCGCGAAGATAATATTGTATGGGGAAAATACATTATATATTAAAGGGGACGAAGAAAACCCCCATATATAAACTACGTATTGCGTAAGATAATTTTCAATATATTTCACTGTTAAAAAAAAATTTGAATTTCAGACTAATTTGAGTGAAGTACTTTTTCATAAACTCGTTATTAATTTTCAGACTCGTCTTTGGGCGAAAATGAAGTCTTAAAAATTTAGACATGGCCAAGTCTTAAAATTCCCACTGCTTTAGCTGAAAATTTATACTTTTTGTCCAAAATTTTTGAACATACTGTGTGAATTCATCCCGCAGCAATTGTGCGGAAAGGGCAGCCTATTGTGGTGGTTAGGGCGGACCTACTGGACGGATAACGATTTTACTCCTGTGAGAGACAGAGCAAACTTCAAAGCGCGGGGATTCCGCGCACGATGGACACCATCGCTACTCAAAAAAAATCAGACGAGATGGTCCGCAGTAAGACTGAGGCACTCGTCGTTCGAGGGTGAGATCACTTATAGAATCACCCATGTGTGCCACAACATAAGGAGGATCATGCGGGCACCCAACCTAATGACCGAACGCAGACGCCAGCGAGAGCCAACATTGAAATGCGGTTTTTTCGACTTCAGAGTAAATTTTGTTTAAACTTATTGCTAAAGGCTAGAGCTGATAATTACTAAGCAACAGATGATGCTGTTTGCAAAAATTATTTACTTTAATGACATTAATCGGAAATACAAAGTGGCGATCTGCCGCGGCGCTCCAGGCGCCACCTAGCGGCAGGTCCCTGAAACGTAACTCCAGGCGGCTGCAAGCAAGTGGACGAAACCATTTGAGAAGTGATTGGTTCACAGTTTGCATTCAACAAGCTCCCTCAACATAACAACTGCCAATATCATAATGCTTTGATGCGCGACGTTTGATTTTGTATATCTGGTTTTGTAATAGTCAGCCTAATCTTAATTTTATGACTTCCCCCATTTTGAAATTTCAGACTGGGTACAAATATTCAGACCAAGCACGGTCTCAGATTGCCCTGTCTGACATCTCAGACAAAAGTTATGAAATTTCATAAAAAGGTCTTAATTGGTGTTTCATAACGTCAAGTCTGAAAAAAGTTGTCTGAATTTTCAGAATTTTTTTAACAGTGTGAGCAAGATACAATTACATTGGCAATGGATGAAACAAATATTGATTCATATATTCACTACAAATCCAAAGGTCAGACTTCTCGCCACTCCAGAGGCAAGACATTAGTCTCGCCAAGTTTTGGTCAGACGGTCAGACCTGAAAGTCTCGCCAAAATTTGGTCCGACAAAAAAGTCTCGCCACAAAACGGTCAGACACAAAAGTCTCACCACAAAATGGCTAGACTTTTGTGTCTGACCACGGCCTTTAGGCCGTAACCGTCCGGCGCATTACGGCCTTTAGGTGGCGGTCAGACACAAAAGTCTCACAGAGACTTCTGTGTCTGACCGTTTTGTGGCGAGACTTTTTTGTCTGACCAAATTTTGGCGAGACTTTCAGGTCTGACCAAAACTTGGCGAGACTTTAATGTCTCGCCATATTTTGGCGCAAAGTCTTTCCATCCAATTTGCAGTGTTTTCCATATATTTCCTTTATGCAAGGGGTGGGGGAGGGGGTGGGGTACCTCACTCCCTCACAACGCCCACGAACCCTCCCTCCCTCTCCTCCTCGCCTCTCTCCGACTTGCCTGAGCAAGGGGCTGCCTACCCACTATTACCATTACCATTAAGGGCTATACCACATATAATCGTATGCCATTTCGGGCCCGACACATACGCTACGTAGTGTGTGGGCTTTCCCCACGGTAGAAAAACGTAACCTCATCGCCCAAAATATGTCTCTGAGGCGCTCGGGCTGCCAGGCACGCCAGGCCCGCTTCGCCTGCACCGGCGGCCATTGAAATTTACCGAAGTGCTACCCCCACTCCCCCCCATGGGTTTGAGAAGCCCACATGGGCTCGCTGAATCAAGCCCAATAGAGCCCACCCCGATCCCACCTCTGCCTTCCCTGACGCGGCAGGCCCGCCCGACTTGCCTGAGCAAGGGGCTGCCTACCCACTAGGCGCTTTGTACGCTATGTAGTGTGTGGGCTTTCCCCACGGTAGAAAAACGTAACTTCATTGCCCAAACTATGTCTCTGAGGTATAAAAATACCTTGCATGGTGAAGATTGCCAATAGGAAGAGTCACAATCGACTTCCGGAGAGAAAGAAATCTGTTTTAGTCATTTTTAGTGAAAATAGTGAAATTGAGCAACTTTAAGAGCCCGTAGCGTCTAAACCCGACGTCGTAGAGCCTCGTGCGACCCGGCATTCGAAAGAGCGCACTTTTTTCTTTCGGAAAAACCATATTGGTAGATTTTTTAGCCGACACGTTCCGAGATCCCAAAAAGCCCCAAACCCTCAAAAACAGCCATTTCTGGGGGTTTTTGACCCGTGCCAAAAAGCCAATCGGTGTTGGATCCGGCCTAATTTGTGTTTCGGCAATTCGTATTCACTAGTTGAACCAAAAAAACCGGGAGGGAGCCAGATCTGAGAGGGTCCCCGGCCAAGTGTTTTTTTTTGTCTGGAGCTGCTCAAATGATCAAAAATTGCAACTTTTTTTTAATAGTTCATATTATAGACCATTCCTTTCTGCGTCGAATGGTGAAAACCGCATTCCGGAATTCAAAAAATTGCAGTTTTAGGAGGATGTGGGCCGCAAACGTGCATAGGGGAAAAGACCAGTTTCCCCATCTTTGATCGCGTTTTTCTCCGAACATGTCAAATCAGGTCCTTCTTTCAGTGCAAGGTAGAACAGTCTTTTTCTGAAATTTTTTCGTGTCTGCTTCTGTTTTGTGTGAAGACTCCTTCACCACTAATTTCCAATTTTATCATAATGGCAAGAACGTTATTGCTATTTTGATAATTTAGCGGAAAAATGTATAAGAATGACAAAGGAGTTGAACTTGGTAAGGGAGCCTTATAATACCGATTTGTTGCGGAAAATATGATCTACCACAGGCAAAAAACAAGACTCAATCGGACAGCCCATTCTAGAGATATTTGAGAAAGTGTGAGAATGAATTTTGTTTACGGTAGCCAATCTTGATCCAAACCACTTTAATTCGGGTGAAAAAAGTAATCTTCGCCTTTCTTGGTCATGAATATCGCCTCAAGTTTTAACCCTGGTTGCGCATGACTTATTCCTGGCACGGAGTTTTTTTGCTTCAGTCTTGATGCTGGCTGATCGTGGCTACGATCTCTGGACGTTCAACTACCGCGGCAGCTTTTACTGCCGGAAGCACCAAACGTTGACCACAAAGGACCATGATTTCTGGGACTTCAGGTGAGTAGCATGAAGGGGCAAGACACACTTGCTTTGACAGTGCGGCGATGCGTGCTTCGAAGCGCCTGTGAGGTAGGCCGTACCGCCACACTCCGATGCGCTGTAGCGCAACAAGTTGCCTAACCTGGACATCGCAGGCGCTCGCTTTGCCATCGCACAGTGGGCAAGAAATCGGGTTGAGGCGGTCAATTGGTTCGAGCGCTGTTAAGGGGGCACAGCAGTGAAAATGCAGAGGTTTCGAAAAACGATTATTCTGAGAAAAGTAATCTACATATTCGATTGATATTTTATTCCCTTGCAAAATGGAAAATATATAGGCACTATATGGACAAAATATATGGCCCAACATGTATTGACGACATATGTGGAAAAGATAATTTAGCAAGATACTTTTCCGATATAAAAAATATGTGGCAAATATATAAATTTCATACATTGCTCTATATGTAGGCAATATATAGTGTGAGTACACCATGGAGTCTGACGACTCGGAGACTTCCTTTACTATTATCAAAGAATGTAACCTCGCCATGCGAGAACATCCAATCGTGTCCGTACCGTGGTTGCCTATAAGAACTTTTCGCGCTACACCCAAAAAAGACGTTTAAAATTTCCGAACTGTTCCAGTTAACTTGTTATAGAGGATTTCTCAAAATTTCTTGGAGACTTAAACGCATAGAAAAGAACCTTGCCCCTGCTCAAAATATGGCGTCAATATATTTTACAACATAAAATCATGTTGCGAAATAAAGCCGCCTTTCAACATCGAGTGCCAAGATTTTAAGAAAAGTTACTTGAAAAGTCTGCCCTCCTCACCCTGCCCCATCCCACGACGGGCACCGTGTCCGATATTGAAACATACATTTCGCGAAGATAATATTATATAGGGGAATATATGCATCATATATAAACGGGCACCAAGATATACCCCCATCTATAAACCACGTATTGCGCAAGATAATTTGCAATATATTGAGCAAGATACAATTATATTGGCAATGCATAAAACATATATGGAGTCATATATTGACACATATTTTCCATATATCTTCCTTTTTGCAAGGGATTCTTGGCTCAAAATTATATCACAGGAAAGAAAAATCAGTATGGGAGGGCAGGGTGGCGAGGGCAAGACGGAGCGCCAGTACACTTTATTTTTCTGCGACCTTGCTTCACTCCTGCCACGATTCCGCCTCTCTGGATTGAGCCTCGGGCACGGGATTTGAAAATTTCTCACCAGGACACATGTGGCTACGGTCTGAACCACGGGCATGCTAAAAGAATGATTAAGACTTTGTTTTTTTGCTAGGCAAAAATTGAAAAAAAAAATTTTACCAATTTTTTTTGCGCTTCAATGGCTGCTGCTCATGTTCTATGTATGATATGGCCATTTTCGTGGTTCAGACCATAAACGCAAGTTTAACAAACATTTTGCCGCAAACCGCATTGAATTATCTTAATTTTTGCGCCCATGAGAGTGGCACAAAGGTACAAAAAAGGTGTTTTAAGTAAAAGCCCTTTCAGTAGAAACATAGATTTGACGTGTTTTTTTATTATACTGTAAATGCGCCTTTTGACGTATTTTAGTTCGGTTTGCGCCTTTTTACAACTGTGGTTGGTTGGTTCAAGGGTTTTGTAATTGAACTTTCAGTGAACGTTAACAATTGGTCAAAAATATGCAAAAATAATAACATTTTTAGCAACTTAAAAAATGTGGACGAGCCAAAGTTATTGGAATTTTAGAGTGGGGTTTGCGCAGGGCGTGCTAACTTAACATTTATTTGCGATTTTGGACTTTTTATTTCGTAAACGGCTGGAAATAAAAACATTATGCATAGAATAACTTAAATTCAAAATCAAATTTTAAATTTAAGTTACCCTGTGCATAACTTTTTTCCCTTTTGTCGTTGACGCGATAAAGGCACTCAAAATCTCAAAAAATGTTAAGTTAGCACGCCCTGGGTTTGCGGCGTTCGACGGAATAAATGGAAGAAAAATAAGATAAAATAAAAAAAAGGCCAAAATTCGACGATTTTGATTGGTGTGCCCCCTTAAGCGACTCTGCACACTGCAAGTTGGATTAAGGGGGGACATCACTCCAAAAACAGTGCTTTTGTAAAAACGTCATAAAAACCAAACGGAAAGAGGAAAATTGTTCATATTTTAACAGATAAAGCATAAAACAACACTAAGTCAATCCGCCAGGGCAGTACAGCGCTTTCGTTGAAAACACATTTTTGAGTGTTAGGTTAGACCATTTTGCACGGTTGCAGCGCTGGACGCCAAACGGTTTGACCTAGAACATTGAAATTTGGTGACAGCCTTCCTGAGATGTCTGGCTATGGTGGGTACCTCAATCACATTTCAAAAATCATTTAGAGTTGAATTTGTTACATGCCAAAAATAATTGTTCAATTTTTTGGGTCAAAATTGTTTAATTTTGAACGTTAAAAAAATAATAAAAATTGACCAAATCAAAATATTTTGCTACCCACCATAGCGGCATGTCGAAGGAGCTTCCATGCTAAATCTCCCCGCTGTAGCTCAAAAACTGCGCCCTAGAGGCCTGCAACCGTTTGCAATTTCATGTTCCGAGAAAAACGCGATCAAATTTGGGGAAACTGGGCTTTTCCCTTATGCATGTTTGCGGCGCACAACCTACTAAAACTGCAATTTTTTGAATTCCGGAATTCGGTTTTCACCATTCGACGCAGAAAGGAATGGTCCATAATATAAACTAATAAAAAAGTTGCAATTTTTGATCATTTTGGAGTGATGTCCCCCCTTAAAAGACTTCTTGCCAAAATAAGGGAAGACTTGAAGTCTCGCTGACACTGAGAATCAAAACGCTATGAATATAGCGTCAGTTGGTGCAACGCAAAAGCATTGCACATGAAGTGCAATGCCTCCCCATTCCCATGCATTAGCATAGGGCTGTTTCGGGATGCATTGCACGTAAGGTACAATACATGGCTGTGGCATTGCACGTATGGTGCGATATGTCAACTGCATTGCACCATACGTGCTATACTCATTGCGTTTGGAATCTCAGTGGAGTCTTGGTCGGGCCTTAAAGTCCCGCCAAAATTTTGCAAGACAAAAAAGTCTCGCCAAAATTTTGACGGACAAGAAAATCTCACCACAAAATGGTCAGACACAAAAGTCTCATCACAAAATGGCAAGACTTTTCTGTCTGAGCACCGCCTTAAGAGGGCAGTAGCGTCTTTTGCACGTATTTTGACGATTTACAAACCTCTTGTTTAGACGTTCATAGAAAGATAAGCATGAATCCCAGAGACAAACGGCAGCAGACACCATTTTTAAGAAGAACGCTTTTTCGACATTTTCAAAAAAAGTATTTTGTTTCGGCATTGAATTAGGATGCTTTGTGTTCTATGCAAAAATGGTCTGCAAAATTACAGGGTGTCACTGCGCGCACGATTGCAGCCAAGGTTTTTAACTTTTTCCAATCAGTCAAATGTGTCTGAAAAAACATGAAATTGCCTATAAAATAAACCTTGGATTTTAATATTGGGCAAGAAAAAAGTGGTTCGTTTCCATATAAAGTTTAAGATGAGCGTTTCAATAGTTTTTCTTGCCCCATATTGAAACTAAAGGGTCATTTTATAGGCAATTTTATGCTTTTTCAGATGCATTTTACCGATTGGTAAAAAGTTAAAAACTTTGGCTGCAACCGTGCGCGCAGTGACACAATGTTATTTTGCAGACCATTATTGCATAGAACACAAAACATCCTAATTCAATGCTAAAATTTTTTTGTGAAAATGTTGTAAAAACTTTTCCCTTTAAAATGGTACCTGCCGTTTGTCTCTGGCATTCATACCTATCTTTCTATTAACGTCTAAAGAGGAGGTTCGAAAATCGTCAAAATACGTGCAAATGACGCTATTGCCGCCTTATGGCCGTAATGCGCCAAACGGTTTCGGCCTGAAAGCCCTGGTCAGACCAGATACACAAGTCCCGCTATTTTGTGATGAGACTTTTGTGTCAGACAATTTCATAGCGAGACCTTTTTTTTGTCTGGCCTAATTTTGGCTGTTTCAGGTCTTACGAAAACTTGGTGGGATTTTATGACTCACCTCCTCGGAAGAGGCGAAAAGCCTGATCTTTAGTTTTGTAATGTGGGGTGTTTAGAGTGCACTGTTAAAAAAAATATGAAAATTCAGACTGATTTCGTCTTACTTGGTGGTCTGAATCGTAAATTCATAAAATGGTACGAATATTAAGACCAACTGTCTGAAAAGTTTGACCTGTTGTCTGAAATTTGAATTTAGACTAGCAAGTCTGAATATTTAGAGCGATGGCTATCAAGTTTAGTACATTGTCGTCCGAAAACTAAATTCATACTTGTGAAATCGGAAAACGAGTGAAAAAACCCCGTCCCCTTTGTACACTTCAAATCCAAAGGTCAGACTTCTCGCCACTCCAGAGGCAAAACATAAAAGTCTCGCCAAGATTTGGTCAGACCTGAAAGTCTCGCCAAAATTTGGTCAGACAAAAAAGTCTCGCCACAAAACGGTCATACACAAAAGTCTGACCCCAAAATGGCGAGACTTTTGTGCCTAACCGCTACCTAGAGGCCGTAATGCGCCGGACGGTTATGGCCTAAAGGCCGTGGTCAGGCACAAAAGTCTCGCCATTTTCGGGTCAGACTTTTGTGTATGACCGTTTTGTGGCGAGACTTTTTTGTCGGAACAAATTTTGGCGAGACTTTCAGGTCTGACCAAATCTTGGCGAGACTTTAATGTCTCGCCATATTTTGAGGTGAGGTCTTTCCATCCAAATTGCAGTGTACATTTTTCGATTTTCTCAGAACTTTTATCAATACTACTGTTGTATTTCAAATAATATTTACGTTTAGTGTCGTAAAAGCATAGAGAATGTTTCAGAGCTCCGAAATGGACACCTACTGCTCTATCCGCTAGGTGGCGCTAGTGTCGCATGGATGATCTTTTGGAGCTAAAATTGCCACTTGAAGG